GAAAACGTAAAATTTCAAAGAACAAGAAAATTTTAAGGTGACCTCAATTTTTTGCTCGCCAGTTTATTTTCCATGCATCTATACAGGGTGTCCTTTAAAATGTGTCCCAAAATTCTCAGGCAGATTCCTTAACCAAAAAATGGAAAAAAAGTTCCTATAGACCTATGTCCTAAAGTGCCCCCTAAGCGAGCAACAACCTCTCGAAATCATTTTTTTTATTTTGATTTTTTGAATTTTCTTAAAAATGGAAACAAATAAAAGAACCAAATTTTGGCTGTTAAATATGATCAATAATAGTGACCTTTTGACACCTTCAAAAAGAAATTATTTCGTCAGGGGTGTACTTGGGAATTTTTTGAAAATTTTGATTATTCATAACTTTTTTGTGTTTTTGGTAATGACTTATCCATATTTTTTTTTACATTCTACATTGAAAACTACGTCAAAAAGGAATACTTGTTTGATCTCGATTGGAGCAGCCGTTTCCGAGAAAACATCATCCAAAGATATTCGTGCAGTTTAGGTTAATTTTCAATTTTGGCTGTTGTAGCCAAAAAGTTGGAAATCGAGGAACACGGCTTACATGTCCCTATCCTTACTTTTGAAGGTCTATTCAGTGGCAAAAAATATTAGTTGATACAGGGTGATCAAAAATCGGATGTGATTTTGGATTTTTGATCACCCTGTATCAAATAATATGTATTTTATGTCACTGAATAGACCTTAAAAAGTTAGGATAGGGACTGTAAGCCGTTTTCCTCGATTTCCAACTGTTTGGCTACAACAGCCACCTGAATTTGAAAAAATGTGATTTTTGAGTAGCTGTAGATCCTTTACTATTCATATTAGATAACAAGTGTGATATATCATTGAAATCAGATTATCGAGCAGATTCTAAAAATATAAAAATATACAGGGTATTCCATTTAAAAAACATAACTTTGATTTGGCACGGCCTTATGAAACACCCTGTCACATCGTAACTAATTTTAAAATGTGAAGCTTAAAGCTGCCTACTTTTATTATAACAGATCTACAGAGCTTCCTCACACTAATCAATCACCCTGTATACTATTTTTAGCTCTCTAAATAAAATTTAAAAATTTAGTTCCCATTTATTTATTATGAAGACCATAAGGTTTGTATTTAGCTGTTTAGAATAAAAAAGTAAAAATATGTATTTTTTTGGCGTTTTTGTGTTTCATGGATAATTTTTTTCGCTCACTGATAAAAATGTTTCTTCAGTTAAACATTATTTCTAAAAGTGTTCTGGTGCGATTCGTTGTATTGTTATTATTTTGTTTAAAATGGCTCACAATAACTACAATAATGATTACACATTCGGCGAAATGACGGACATGCACTTATGTTTTGGACTCGCTTCTGGAAATGCCAATGAAGCTCGCAGACTTTATCAGGAGCGCTTTCCAAATAGGCATCTTCCATGCGCTAAGACGTTTTCTAGAATTGACGATAGACTTCGGGAAACTGGTACATTTAAGAAAAACTCTAGTAACAGTGGAAGACAAAATTATGTGAGAACTCCTGCTTTGGAAGAAGCAATTTTGGATAGGGTAGCTGAAACCCCATCGACAAGTACCAGAAAAATAGCAAATGGTAAGTAATTACTTATTTATTATTTTAGCTACCGTATAAAACTAGTTTTTTTACTTGTTATTGCTTCTCTTACATTTCACGACTTTTCGTATCGAAAAGAGTTACGTTATGCAGAAAAAATCTGATTTCCCAAATCAATGGATTCTCTTTCTTAACTATTCACTACACAGATTCTCTCATTTAATTTCAGAAGTGGGAGTCGGACGTAACACGGTATGGAAAGTTTTGCGTGAACAACAATTGTACCCTTACCACATTCAAAAAGTTCAGGCACTTAAAGCTACTGATTATGAGCCGCGAGTTATCTTTTCTGAATGGTTTCTTGGAAGATGTAATCAAGATGCAATGTTTCTTAATAAAGTGCTATTTACCGATGAAGCTGGTTTCACTAGAGATGGTATAATAAATTTTCGAAATATGCATGAATGGGCTGAAGATAACCCTCACGCGATTGTTGAACGTCACCACCAGGATAAATTTTCAATAAACGTCTGGGCTGGAGTTATTGATAATTACCTTATTGGACCATTTGTTTTGCCGAATAGGTTAAATGGAGCAGCATACAGACTTTTTTTGGAAAATAACTTACATGAGCTTCTTGATAATATTCCGATTCAAATCAGACATAACATGTAGTTTATGCATGATGGAGCTCCACCACATTACAGCCTTGAAGCTAGACAGCACCTTAACGAAAGATTTGAGGGTAGAGTAATTGGCAGAGGTTGTCCTGTTAACTGGCCACCTCGTTCACCAGATCTAAATCCAATGGATTTTTTTGTTTGGGGTTATTTAAAATCATTGGTTTATTCCAGTCCTGTTGAAACAGTTGAAGAATTGGAAGAACGAGTTTTTCATCATTGCGAAGTTCTTAGGAATAATCCTGAAGTATTTTTTCGTGTAAGACAGTCTATGATGCGACGGTTGCGCTTGTGTGTGGAAACCAATGGTCGCCACATTGAGCATCTGCTTTAATTTTTTTTGATTTGTTTTTTTAGAATAAATATTTTTTTAAACCGTTTCTTATTATTAAATAAAAATAGTCCCACCACGACATTTGAACTACAATTATTTAGAGAGAGCTAAAAAAGTTATTTTTATTTACGAGATTCACCGAGGTAATTTAGGAAAATTGAAAATTAAGCTAAAGTGGACGAATATCTTTGGATGATGTTTTCTCGGAAACGGCTGCTCCAATCGAGATCAAACAAGTACTCCTTTTTGACGTAGTTTTCAATGTAGAATGTAAAAAAAAATATGGATAAGTCATTACCAAAAACACAAAAAAGTTATGAATAATCAAAATTTTCAAAAAATTCCCAAGTACACCCCTGACGAAATAATTTCTTTTTGAAGGTGTCAAAAGGTCACTATTATTGATCATATTTAACAGCCAAAATTTGGTTCTTTTATTTGTTTCCATTTTTAAGAAAATTCAAAAAATCAAAATAAAAAAAATGATTTCGAGAGGCTGTTGCTCGCTTAGGGGGCACTTTAGGACATAGGTCTATAGGAACTTTTTTTCTATTTTTTGGTTTGCCTGAGAATTTTGGGACACATTTTAAAGGACACCCTGTATAGTTCTCAAAGCTCCACTATATCGCGATGGTAATTTTATTTATTGTGTAATAAAAATATATAGCCTGAAATAATTACACTTAATAATGAGTCTTCAACAATAGCCGTATGCCACGTGATCTGGTAAAACAAGAAACCTGCTAATAAAAATGGCTGTTCTTAGTGACTTTTATGACAACTTAAGTGTCGTCAGTTCTGTAAAATTCGAAGTTACTTTAAGTCAACTGATGCTATAAATTTGATTACATGGGATACGGGTATTGTTAAAGACTGTATTATCAAACATATTCTTACGTAGATCATTGTCTACTCTTACGGTCCACTCTTAAGAAAATACAGGACAGTGATAGTTACTGTCACTTAATAAATAAATAAAAATATATTATTGTGATGACCGATTACATTACACACTCAATACACTAAAAAAAATGGATATACAAATAACAGTCTTTGATCGTTGTATACTCTAAATATATAATTTGATTAGCTGGACAGTATCTTGTCAAACTATGCTCATTCGTACTTGGTATTTGGTTAACAGATCGGCTTTGTGTTATTTATTTTATTTTCTACTTATAATTTGTTTATTATGTTTTAGATTTGGTTGCCATTAACTCATAATGCCTTTGAATGATGACTTAAGATGTGGCAACGCAGCAATTTTAAAATCGATGATATCGAGTCATCGTTTAATAATTTTCTTCAACAATTAAAACACAAAATTTAGATCAAATATTGAGTGATAAAAATTTCGCTCTAATACAACCTATACAGGGTGTTTCCGAACTTGGCGTCCAAATTTTTAGGGGTGGTAATTCGCATAATTTGAGACCGATTCGCAGATTTCATTTTTCCAAAATATTTAAAATAAAAATAATTAAAAATTAATTTAAAATGTTAAACAGGTACGATTTAATCACGCACTAACTCCTGTTCATTTGCACAAAATAAATTTATCAGATAATCCGTATTGTCATTGTGGGGATATAGGTACAGCAGAACACATTATTCTAAATTGTCGAGCAATACAAGTACAAGTTATGCAATTAAATAATAGCCTTTATCAACACTTAAATATTACAAAACCATATAATCTACAGCAACTGTTACAATCAAAAGAAATAAGATACTATGAGATACTTTTTCAACATATCAGTAACATTAAAATTAAATTGTAAAAAAAATAGAATAAGTTCACTTCCTCTATTAAAACTCCTTAATTGTGATCCTACCTCTCCGGGTCCTCTTGTTAGTCTAAATCGCTTAGATAGACCCTTAAGCGTAATTGTGTCCATGTCATATGCCAAAAAAAAAGAAAACAAAAAAAAAACAAACAAAAAAAGAAATAAAAAACAAAGAAAAAAAAAATTCATAAAAAAGACTACATAATCAATTTTAAATAAACATAAAACAAAAAATTGTAAAATTGCATTTTCCCGACATCAAATCAATTAAGGAAAAAAAAATTTAATAAATTAGTTTGGCAAATGGATTCAGATTCCGCAGCCATAGTTCTCACACACACAACAGGTACGGTCCTGCACAGCGATGAGACCAATTCTCTGAAAGCGAGGTAAACAACCCAAAAAAGCAATACGCACTAGAAAAAAAATCTGCTACATCTTTCGATACCGGCCAGGGACTATTGCGCTACGCGCTCAGGGTAGGACCTGCTTTTTGGTTTTTTTTATAATGTTTATTTTGTTTATTATATATTTTTTAGGAAAATGAAATCTGCCAATCGCTCTCAAATTATGCGAACTACCACCCCTACAAATTTGGACGCCAAGTTCGGAAACACCCTGTATGTGAAATTTTAAGCATTATATTTATTTATTTATTAATTCGTTACTGTTATTGTTCCTTGTTAATTCTATGAGTATAAAGGTAGATATTATTTTTTACAACTTATACCGATGTTTATTACTATAGAAGAATCTGTGTATGTCTCCAAAACATCTTCATATTAAAAATTCATTTCCATAAAATCTAGAGGAATCTGATGTCAACCTAAAAAAAATAATTTGTTCTTAATGTTCTTTAGAAATAAAACAAAAATATAATCTTGAAGCTCGGATATCATTGGACCGTTTAAATAACTGTCAACAGTATCAACTGTAAACAGTGTCATCTGTCAACAGTCAATATTACCACAAAATCCAATAATTACTGATGAAGTGATTAACATTGAAAATGCTTTAAAATATAACTTGGCAAAGTCATAACGCATTCTACTACATTTGATGAATAAACTGTAAACGTTTTGACAGTTTATAAGTTGATTAAGAATACTCCAATGGCGAAGCTAGAAGAATTTTACTCGTAACCCAGATCAAGTTTTATTTTGTTTTTAAATAGAAGTTAAAACAAACTGCCTTACAGTTTTTGATTTTTTTTTTAGATTGCGAAGAAATAATAATAATAATAATGGCTAGGAGAAAGAAATTTCTGTCAGTGCAAATTTGAAACTTATAATATATATTTAAACCCTGTATATCGGTTCTAAAATATATAAACTTCTGGACAAAATTAATGCACCACTTATATTTTGCTCGATAATCTTTATTTATTGATAACTTACTGTACGACAAGTAGGCCATGGACCTTGTTTGACAGTGACAGTTGTTTTTTAAGCTAGCTAGTGTCACGTAATACCTTGTTTTGACAGTAATTCGTATTAAACCACGTTTTAGACTAAAACTGTTAACATTTTCTTAAAAAGTGCTGATTAAATCAAAATTTCTGTTAGAAGCAAGCTATTGATTGTATTTTTTTTTATTACATGCATGTTTGGAAGTTTATTTTAGAGAATATCAAGTAAAAAAAATGAACCGTCAAAAAAATCTGTCACTGGAGGAGGCAGTGCGAGCATCGACTCTCCCGAATGAAGGATATTCAATGCGATATGTTGCTGGTTTGTTAGGAAGACATCATTCCAGCATCAGTCGCATAGTGAGGCGACATAATGAAACGGGTTCGTACCATCGAAGACCAGGAAAAGGGCAAAAACGTTGTTACACTAATTAAATTGATGATCGTTTTTTAAGACAACGTGCTCTTAGAGACAGGAGAGTAACCAGCAATCTGCTTGAAAATGAATTAGCAGATGTTCGAAATATCGCTATATCGTTTCGAACGGTCAGAAGACGTTTACATGAAGCAAGATTAAGCAACAGAAGACCAGCCAAAAAACCCTTGCTTACCAGAGAACACAAAGTTCAGAGATTAAATTTTGCAAAACTACATCAATGATTGGAAACGGGTTCTATTCTCCGATGAAACTAAAGTTAGCCTTAAAGCTCCAGATGGACGTGAGCGTGTCTGGCGAAGACAAGGACAAAGTTTTTCCAGCTGTAATATCTCTCCTAAAGTGCCTTTTGGTGGTGGCTCTAAAATGTTTTGGGGAGGAATTTGCTTCGATGCTCGTACGGAGTTGGTCCCTATACGTACGAGGTCTATGAATGACCAATATTACTTAGACAACATTATTGTCAAACATGTTATGCCATTTGCTCCGTTTGTTGGGCACAATTTTTTATTCATGCAGGACAACGTTCGTCCCCACTTGGCTAGACAGGTTATTGGTTACTTACATGATGTTAATATTCCTTTATTAGAGTGGCCACCTAACAGTCCGGATATGAATATAGAACATCTATGGGACTATCTCAAAAAGAGGATTCGAAGTCACAACCAACTCATAGAGGTCGCTAGCTATTAAAGAATGGGAGAATATACCGCAAGCTTTTGTTGAACATTTGATATCAAGCATGTCGCGACGCATGAATGCAGTGATAAGAAGTAGAGGAGGGCCTACGCGGTATTAGGGTTGACTCAGATGCATTTATTCTCTTTTACTGATTTTTTTTCTTTTTTCAATTTGCAGTTATGCTAGCTTATTTATGCATTTCCAGCAAAAACTAATTTTTATAGAAAAAGCAAGGCAAATTAAGGTCATGTAAAGGTCATATTTGACTAATTTTTAGGTGTTCATCATTATTTCAATGTAACTTAGTTTTATGTTGTGTTTATATTTTTTATATTTTGTCCAGGAGTTTAGATACTTCTTTTTACACTTTTCTCTATACTTATACCTACGCATTTATTTTCATTGAACCTACTTATATTTACTCATTTGTCCAAAATATTTTCTGTTTAACACACACCTACAACTCATGCCATTTCATCAGGTAGAAGACGAATCCTGTTGGCAACTATTTGTGTCGGAAAATGTTTCTTCGGAATATCGACATCTTTTGCCATAATTTGGCATTGGTGTATCTGTTACCGTAGTTACGGTTTTACAGGAATGTCTCATTTTCTTGCCACTCAATTGCAAATAGCCTCTGACGCGTTCCGCTGATGGTCTGAAAATAAAAAAAAAATAATTGTCAGGTATAGTCTATGTAATTGGGATAGAGAATTAGTATCCGCCCCAATAAAGATATATTTTTATTGCTTTGATTTATGTTCTAGGAACATTGATTATAGTTATATACATATTTTCTCATTAAAAATAAATATGAATTTTTTTTTTTTATTTTTTTTTTTGCATCGACTGTAAGCCATTTGCCACACACTCAATATGAATTATGACTGACTTTTTCTGATGATAATGATTAAGCTATCGACATGTTTAATGTGGTTATCCGAAAACTGGCATTATATTAAATGCATAAATTTTTATATTTGTCAGAAAAAAATACCTTCAAGTATATTATGGGATTGATATCAAATGAAAAATAAAAAAAATTATTGTAGCTTTTTATTTAAAAAAATTGAACAGAAAGACGTGTTTCACAAATGATAAGTTGCGTAACAAAATGTAATATAATCAAGTGTTAATTCTCATGGAAAATGCGAAAAAAATTAGACTTTTGGTTAAAACACAGGCTTAATTTGCACTTAGAACATGCTACAAAAGTTAGGTTTTTGCACGTTGGATTTTTGCACCTTCCTCTATTTTCTCTCCACTCGGGCCAATGCTCGATTAAATCTTTTCTGACGTCTACTGGTGGTACTACAGTAGCTGGGTTTCTTTTTTTTTAATTCTAGTGCATCTTGCATTCCACTATTTTGTTGACTTTTTTCCAATTGTACACAAGGTTTGGGAAACTTCAATCCTGAAACTTTTTTGGGTTATAGGCTTTATGTTTTTAATTTGACATACCCTTTTGTATAGTAGCCACGCATTTACTATACCTACATCAAATAGGTGATAAAACAATCTAAAATACCATTTTGTTGATTTTAGCCTGATTTTGTGGCGTACGATATGGCTATCAAACAAATCCACCTATCCCATATGCTTATTATAAATTGTAATAATTTCTGGACAGCTAACTTCTTTATATTGTTTATTTTTACGGTCAAATCTTCTAGCAGTCGTTTCCGGTTTCTGTCCAGAAAAGGTAGACAATAAATTAACAATTTTGTTGTCTTTCCAGGATATGCAAGCGATATCAACACCGTCAACATTTCCAACAAATTCAACAGATTTTCCTCTCATTTGTTTTTTGAACTCTTGTTCAGTTGGAAGTTTGCAGTTTGGAATCCTGTTTCTTCTCACTGTTCCAAGCGGAAAAATGCCTTGTTTATGCAAGTACGCCATGAGGGACAGAGAGGTAAAAAAGTTGTCAAAGTAGATTTTATGACGCTTGAATTTAGCAAAAACACTTGCTAGGAGAACCACTACATTTGAACTTGCCCCCAGGTCTGGTTCATCTACAGGTCTTTCACTTAAATTGTTTTTTTGTCCCATATAGACTTCAAATGCATAGGCATAGCCAGAAACACCATATGAAAAAATAATTAACCCCCACTTATGTGGCTTGTTTGCCATAGAAACACCACATGAAAAAATAATTAACCCCCACTTATGTGGCTTGTTTGCCATATATTGCTTAAGATGATGTCTTACTTTGGTGGCACAAATGTGCTCGTCGACTGACAAACTTTCTTCAACAGGAACAGATATAAATTTTTCTTGTAAGCTGGTAACTATAGGACGGAAGCTTGAAGCTTGTCAAATTCTTGCTGCCCAGCAGGAATTTGGGTTTCATTGTTATTAAAATGTAAGTTAGAACGCAAGTTTTCAAAAATATTTAGGGACATTACTTCTTTTACGAAATCGCTTCAAGTTACATCAGCCCAGTAGTCTCTTATATTTGTGCAATAAGAAACCGAAGTAAAGATGCAAATACCTATATATTTTCATTCTTCTGCAATTTTTTGCAAAAAAGCATCATCAAAAAATTAATTGAAGAACCTATAAGAACCTCTAATATTTCTGGTTTGATATTTATATCGCCAAGAAACTCTTTTTCTGGTTCAGGGTATTCTATGTTACCTTTCTTTCAAATAACTTTTTTACTAATTTCAACAACTTTTTCTTTTGACGAGGTAGCGCTGCTAGATGGAACTGCTTTGTTAGTACCAATTTTCTTACGAATTTTCTGTGGTGTTTCGTTTTCAGAATCTTCTGAAGAGTTTTTTAAGTTTGAGTGTTCATCACGCAGGCTTTCAACAATGACATTTTCGAACACAGTTGGGTCTAATAAATCGCCTCTATCTCCGGAATCTTCAAATTCTACCTCATCTTCACTTTCTATAGGGATGTTGGACTAAATCCAACAATTCTTCATCAGTAAGATGCTTTTTCTATTCAAATTCCTCTTCCTCCAGCGACTCATTTTCTATAAGAAAAATATATTGCCTAAGTGCATGTTGTATCACATATGATACACATAAAATAATGCAAATTATTTATTCCCTACTTAGTAAAATTCAATAAAAATATATAAAAAATGATCTACTTACATGCTTGGATGCTACTAAATATTTAGTTCACCGGTAAATAAGAAATACACGTAATCCGCAGTAAAATAAAAATGTTGGTTTACAATAGCGGGTACTAACACCTGTTCATTTCCAGAATGCGAACAATACTAAAACAAAATATTAAAAACTTCATGACTACTATGTTTTTAGCTTGAACGTATATTGTTACACCTATGATACATTTTCTAGTTCTCAAAACTGCTAATAGATTGCGGTAGTACAAATAAATAAGAGGTGTTCAAGGGTCAACCCTGTCAATTCAATCAGACAGCCCACAGGCAACTATTTAGTTTGGAATTCCTAATTTCCAGATGTCCAAAATTTTGATATCACGGTTGCTGTGGAAGACCCCCTTCTCATCTTTCTCATTTTTTGTATCATGCATCTTACTTATATAGAATATAAAATAAAGTAGAGACGACACTTCGATTGATGGAAAAGTGTAATGAAAGTGACGAATTTAGTCGTATTTTGATTTATTTGAAGTCGATAATTTTATATTTAAAGACTGACGGAATGAAAATGATTTTACATCATTTAAATGAAGCTATTTAAAAAAAAATGGCATTTATTCTCACCAAAACTGACCAGCACCTTTATCTCGAGTTTGATATACGACGTAAAAGAGTAATGCAAAGGTGTGGACATTTTAGCATCGTCATAGCAACTCCTCTTTATATATCTCAATGACTATTAGGCCTTCCAAACAAATGAAACACGGTGCTAAAATTTGGTTCATTTAAAGGGTTACGACATACGATGTAGGTCTATCTACAATACGTGAAATCATAAATATTCGATTAAATTTAAATATTTTATGTCAAACACAATGAAAATATTATTTTTAAAAATGTGGCTTATACATTTTTTTATAAATTGGCAGGCATGGCAACTACTATTTCAAATAAAAATAGCGTCCAAGATGGAAGGTGATATCGTAACCCCCTTAGATATACCAGCCATGCTCTCAGGTAGCTATTGTTTGACAGGTCGTTGGAATGCCTAATATAAAGATATACAGCCAATTTCCAACGACCAGTCAAACAAAATAGCGGGTTGAGACATCACCTTTAATCTTAAATTTTCATTCAAAATAGTAGTCGCCAAGCCTGCCAATTTAAAAAAGTGCAAGTGGGAGAGGTGGGGTGTGTTAAAGGTAATAAACCCTTGCAATTAGCGCCATCTATGAGCTAGGTGATACTTAGGCTCAAATTATCACTTTTCATCCCAAAAAACTCCGGTGTACCAATTTTAAGCCATCTACTTAAGAAAACGACGAAAATAAAAATATTATGAGAAATGTATTATTTGAAATTAACTTTGTCACCATGTATATTGAACATGATGGTCCCAATCAAAAAAGTAATAATGAGGTTTCTTGGCCGGATTGGCCTGTATGTACTATCTAAGATGATACAGGAGCCTGTGTTTTTGACGAAATATGGATGCAAAGTATGGTTACAGAAGCGAAAAAGTATAGAAAAGATTTTAAATTTTATTTAGGTTTTGTCAATCTATTTGAAGTTATAATAAAACATAGAATTCTTCAAACCATCGGAAAGTTTTTAATATCAGTGAGAAAGTCCAATACTTTCTACATTACAAAAACATAAAAACTCTCGTACAGAGTGCGAGAGGTTTACAAGAAAAAATATTTATTATTAGTTTTTCATAAAAAATTTTTTTTTCAGAAAGCAAGGAAATCTTCATAATTATTGCTTAGAGAAAGAAGATTCTCTTAATGCAATTAAGTACCACAAATTTGAAAGTTCTAAAGATAATCTAATAGTTATTTATACCCTCTATATCGGTTATAAAAATATATAGATACTTCTCTTTACACTTTTCTCAATACTTATACCTACTCATTTAGTTTCATTAAACCTGCTACTCATATTTAATCATTTATCCACAATATTTTCTGTTTAACACACACCTACAACTCATGCCATGTCATCAGGTAGAAGACGAATCCTGTTGGCAACTATTTGTGTCGGAAAATGTTTCTTCGGAATATCGACATCTTTTTCCATGATTCGGCACAGGTGTATCTGTTACCGAAGTTACGGTTTCACAAGAATGTCTCATTTTTCGGCCACTTAATTGCAAATAGCCTATGACGCGTTCCGCAGATGGTCTGAAATTATAAAAAAAAATGTCAGGTATAGTATGTGTAATTGGAATAGATAAAGAGTATCCGCCAGAACCAGGGACGCGTCGTCCATATGGGCAAGGTCGTGCGACGCACGACGGCGCCAAGGCCTTAAAGGTGCCTACTGTCGTTAAATTCAAAAAATATTAAAACCATTTTTTGAAACTTATCAACACAAATTAACATAGAACTAAAAAAATTATCTATGAATATCAGTGGTGAAAATGCATTATATACCAATACCGTCCGCCGGTCGGCGACCAGGATAGCTATTCACTAAGTCATGGGAGCCCTCCCATGGGAGTGCTCCCATATATTTTGCTCTCTTACTCTTAGGTGGGTATATCGTGCTTACTCACTTTTAGCCCAGGTACATGCGTAGTAAGGTCAGATTTTATACTATGGGAGGGAGAATTGCAGGCTTGCCAGATTAGGTCCGTATTTATCACAAAGCAAATTTGAATTACTAAGGGCTGATTCCACCGTTGAATTAAACGGAGATTAAAATGACATTGTTAATGTAAAAATGCCATTTTAAACTTCGTTTAACACAACGGTGGATCGGTCCTTAAATAGTAGATCAAAGTTATTCTGTCGACTTGGCAATGTTGGCATGGGGGTATGGGAGCATGGGAGTGTGGGAGTGCTCCCATGAGTTAGAGAATAGGTATCCAGAGGTGAAATTTTACTACTCCTCTTCCTGTGGGGGCGCGAAAACCCGAGTGCGTTCGGCGCTATTTAAACTGGTTTCAACTTGTTAAATTTTGCTTGTTCGTTTTCGATGTGGCAGATTACTTTTTTTTGTATTCATAATTACAATCTACTCTATAATGACAGTCAAGACAATCAAAACGACGAAGTTTTAATGTATATTTAAAAATTAATGGAATTACGAGGGCTGTCTGTTAAGTTTTGCATTAGAGTGCGTTACGAATCAAACGGCACTAATAAAAACAAACTGTCGCCTTTAGTTAACCTCATTTCCAAGTTTCAGTCCGATTCATAGAATGCTGTAATTACACCGAATTTTCAAAGTTGACAAATTATTCAAGAAATGGATTTAAACCGAGAACATTTTCATGCCATAATTTTTTACAACTTTCGAAGACAATTACCTCAACAAGAATGCCTCGCCGAGTTGGTTTCTGTTTTCGGTGGTAATGTACGACATCAATCGACAATTTCTCGTTGGTATGGAGAATTTACACGAGGACGGGTTAATCTTAGTGACGAGCCAAGAGCAGGTGCACCTAAATCGGCAGTCACCCAGGAAACCATTGATGCTGTGCGCAGGCTCATCGAGGAAGATCCATATCGCGAGATTGAAGCATCGTTAGGGATTTCAAAGACCTCAATCCAAAAGAGTTTGCATGAAGAATTGGGAGTAAAAAAATTAGTATCCCGTTGGATACCGCATCTATTGACCGAAGAACAAAAAGAAGCTAGGGTAAATTGATGTCAAAAAACTCTGTAGCGCTTCAACGCTGGAAACTGTAAAAACGTGTACTACATCGCAAGTGGTGATGAATCATGGATTTACTCATATGAACCTGAAAATAAACGCCAATCGTCTGTTTGGGGTTTCCAAGGTGAAAACAAGCCGACAAAAGTGATCTGTTCTCGAAAAGTGTCTAAAAAGATGGTCGCAACATTTGTCTCCAAAGCAGGTTATGTTGCAACAATTCCTCTGCAAGAGCAAAGAACTGTTACTGCCGATTGGTATACAACGATTTGTTTGCCAGCAGTCATTGCTAAGCTTCGGGAAACCAACCCCAAACGACGAATCATCCTCCATTAAGACAATGCAATAGCTCGCAAAACAATTGCCTTCTTAGAGCAACAAAACGTTGAGTTGTTACACTACCCTCCTTACAGTCCCGATTAGAAGATGCAGTTGAGGGATTCAAAACAGCCATTGGAGCTGTGGAATAACTGCTTTCAGAGCTGGTTCGAGCGCATGAAAAAGTGCATTAATCTTCGTGGAGAATACTTTGAGAAACAATAAAATATTTAAACACTATCTGCTGTTTTACTCTAGGTCTATATGCAAAACTTTTTTAGGACTAAAGATCATTTTTCAATCATATTTGATATTATGATTCCTAAAATAAAACAAATCCAGCCGAATAAAACTCAAAGCCTAATTATTTAAATCAACCAAAAAAATAAAATTCATAAAAAAACTACAAAAACACTACAGAAGAGAATAAAAGAGAATTTAAAGAATATAGGAATCGCCTCCATAATATGTTACGACTTGCTAAGTCAGATTATTATAATCAAAAAATACTTGGTAATAAAAACTCGTATAAAGGCTTATGGCAATGCGTAAAAGACCTTTGTGGTAATAACACAAAGAAAAAAGACATAAAATTAATAGACATAGAAAATAAAACGATTACAGACAACAAACTAATGGCTAACCTATTTTGTAAATATTTTACAAATGTAGGAAAAAAATGACTGAAAAAATAAAACTCCCTCCCCAAACTTAAAGTCTTTCATCTTCACAAAAATTTTTAATTCAGTTTATTTCTCTGAAGTAAACCATACTAAAATTTTAAAAACAATTCATGGGCTAAAAGATAAAAAAGCTCTGGGTATAGATGGTATTCAAGCTGAAATAATAAAACTAATAACTCCACATATTGCATCAATATTAACTTATATAGCCAATAAAATTTTAAACAAGGGGATATGTCCAAATATTTCTATAGATGCTATGATCACTTCACAAAAGTGGAAGTCTAACAGATATAAATAATTATAGACATACTTCAATTATTTTGACCTTTTCTAAAACGTTCGAAAAAATTATTTACTCAAGAATATTCAATTTTTTTATTAAAATACAATATATTATTGTCTGCTAAACAATTTGGGTTTTAAGTTAATAAATCTACTTCAGATGCCATTGCCTCTTTAACTAAATTGATAAATAATTCTATTGATTAATCCAAACCAGCAATATGTATTTTTGTTGACCTGACAAAAGCATTTGATACTGTGAACACAAAAAACTATTATCTACATTAGAAGATTGCGGTTTTAGAGGAACTACATATAATTTAATGGAAAATTATATGAATAAAAGAAAACAGTGACAAAAAATAAAAAACACTACGAGCAAATATGAAACATATGGAGTTCCTCAGGGAACAGTGTTGGGACCACTGCCCTTTAATGTATGTGTTAATGACTCATTTAAGCAAAAATGTACAGGTGAAATAATAAGTTTTGCAGACGATACAACTACATTTTTTACAAGTGACAACTGGAATTCCTTAAGAAAAATGATTGAAGAAGACTTTAGTTATTTAATAGCATTCTTTAACTCCAAAACTTTAACAATAAATGTCATTAAAAATATTGGTTAAAGACGCGCCTATCATTATCTCGCACGATGGCGCCAAGAATACTTGACGCGTCCCTGGCCCCAACGAAAGATGTTTTTTTATTGCTTTGATTTGTGTCCTCAACCAAAGCTATTTTTTTATTGCTTTGATTTGTGTCCTAGGAACATTGATTCTAGTTAATAAAGCCAGAATTAGTAGGTTTTAATTTTAATTAATTGTTTGCATAATTTTTTGTCTACTTTTATGTAAATAGTTAAGCAAATAGTTTCATAAAATGGGTACATAACACAAATTCTTGTATATATAAAATATTCTCATGTTTATTTTTCAACATGTCCGTATATAAAAAACGGTTTTTCTGCGTAAACTGAGTTTAGATTAAATTTGGTTCAGTAAACAGAATTAACGAGTTAGATGTAGGAACGATCGATATAAAATATGAAGCAGTTACCAAGTTAACAAGTGAAAAAAAAACGATAATTGAACTTGTTAATTTTTTTATCCAGTTTATTTGATAGAACACACATTAATGTAGAAAAAATATGAAATTATTTAGTCTAGTAAATAGTTTTGTTTGTCTGCTGTCATCAAATTTTCTCAAAAAATCACTTTAATTATTTATAGAACATTTTGTCTAACACTTTATTTAGTACTTACGCATCTAAATTAATGTAAATTTGTGTTCCAATAACAATTGACTTTTAACAAAAATATTCTGTCATTGCAATTAACGTATACGTTTTTACTTTTTTAAACAAGAGAGAGTTGAAGTGATGCTATGAACGTAAACGTATACATGAAAATTGACATATTACGTATTCAAATATTCTTCACGTTCACGTATACGCACATACGTAAGCTTACGGGATCTAACTTATGCACGTAACGCAGAATAACCTCTTTTTAATTAAAATTCTAATATTACTTGTCATGTAAATTTGTGTTCCAATAACAATTGACTTTTAACAAAAATATTCTGTCATTGCAATTAACGTATACGTTTTTACTTTTTTAAACAAGAGAGAGTTGAAGTGATGCTATGAACGTAAACGTATACATGAAAATTGACATATTACGTATTCAAATATTCTTCACGTTCACGTATACGCACATACGTAAGCTTACGGGATCTAACTTATGCACGTAACGCAGAATAACCTCTTTTTAATTAAAATTCTAATATTACTTGTCATTGTCTGTCATGGCACGTAAATGTCACTTATATTTTGGACTTCAACGTAAACATTATTTTTGTGCATTGACGTTCAACTTTACGTTAACGTACTGGAAGAACATAAAATCTCTATTGTTTACAAAACGTAAAAATAACCTGACGTAGGAGCTTTTTATTAGTAGTTAGTTTGTTGTTATGGATGTATGATGTTATTATGACAAGAAATAGAAATTAAAAATTTAAAAAAACCGACTTCAAAAACGTGCAGATGCCATCACCACATCTTAACCAAATTTATATGGGACCACCCCTGAGGTACCCCTTTACTAACAAAAAAAGAATCATATAAATCGAACAAGGTGGTAAAGCATTATCGCTAAACATACATAAAAAATGAAGAGTTTGAGGATTTTCTCATGGACCTAATTATTAGATTTTGACCAAATTTATATGGG